TTGGAGAATCGTGTTCTTAGCACTTTTGGTATCGACACTGCCCAACACTAGTATAATCATAGATGCTAGACCGTTCGGCCTCTCTTGACCTCTTGCATTTCTGAAGTAGGTTTTAATCCTTTGAGGCATGGGATTTGGTACCAAATAAGCTTTATAAAAATGGTTTATGTAATATTAGTAATGGAAGCTATTATTTAAAATTACGATATACATATGTATGTACACACATATATAGATATGTATATGCATATATGTAAACGTTCAGATCTAAACCAATACCTCCATACAAACTATGTACATATGTCGATAAAAGAATTTTATCGGTGCATTGATATTTGGCCTCAGTAATTTTCTGTGAAACATAATAGAAATAAAAAACTTTAAAAATATAATACGTAAATTTAATAAATTTGGACTTTTTAAATCTAATAATTTTTTTAAGTATCTTGTATTAAAAACGAGTTGGCAACCCTATTTAGAAATACGCCAGGATGAAGAGTAGACATTTTTAAAGTGTATGTGTATATATGTATGTACATACATATGTATATACATATGATCGATAAAATTAATAATATAACCCTCATGGAAAATATTTCTGGATTGAAATTCTCAAAAATACCTTTTATTTGATATGCATATTGAATTGTTTTAGTTAAATTTTGTAAAATCGAAATAAGTGGCAACCTTGCACTAATATAAAATATAAATATAACAAGTAAGAAAGTCTAAGTTCGGGCGGAGCCGAACATTAAATACCCGGCGCAAGTATTAAACATATGTTTTTTCACCTTTCCGAAAGCTACCGCCAGATGGTAAGCCGGGGTGTATAGATTTTGAGTAAATTAGAGTCCTTAAATTACGAATTATTGAAGTTTCAAGCATTTCTGAAATTTACCGTTATATAAAAAGCGGCCGTCATTTTGGTCCGATTTCAATAATTTTCAACGTTTTGCTTTTATTTGCCAAGCACAATAAAAATACCGAGTTTGGTACAAATTGGTAGAACGGTTACCGATATACATATATGTGATCATAAGTGGGCGGTGCCACGCCCATTTTCCAAAATTTTACCATAAACGTATTTCTTGGTAAAGAATTGTTGCAAGCATCAATTTTGAATAAATTTTTTGCTAACGATTTTGCTATCGATATTTTTATAGATTTTGTTATCGATATTTTCAGAACTTATCGATATAATGATCGATTTTGTTATTTATTTTGCTATCGATATTTCACTTATCGATATAATGATCGATATTTTTATCGATTTTGTTATCGACATTTTAATCGATTTTGTCATCGGTTTTACTCCATTATGTATAGTATATGCACTTAGAAAAAATAAATCATATCGTCCTTGTTTCAATTTAAAACACATACATATGATATGTCGCCAAACGACCTGTTGTTTAGTTCAAAGAGTTTTTTGAGATTTTTTCGTCTGAATATGATTTCGTTCTGTACTTTATTGATACTTTTTCGTAATTAAGAAAAATCAAAATTTATATTTTGCGTTTAACAGCATTCGAACCCGAGTCTTCCCGAAAGTTAACAAATAGTAACAAGTATCTCTGCGCCCTTAGCTACAACCACAACATGTAAATGTGTTTTCAAATGTTCAGTTTGAATTAAATTTCTTTCAAGCACTCAAACAATTTTATATTCAGTTTTTTCAATAAATATCTTTTCTGTTCAAAATTTCAAATCTTTAAATCTCAGTAAGCTGCAGAAAAAAACAATGGTATAAAATAAAAATAGGGCTTTCGCTTATATTCTCATTGAGTTCTTTTCACTTAGAAGTATGTAAATTTGTAAAATTTTGGAAAACCCCTATTTTTCTTAGTGTGTGATTTCGTTTTTGACTTGGATATGCTCTTAACCATACCACGTATTCTACGTTTAAATATAGCGGCTGTATCTCCGATACAGCCTGCAGACCAAGACGAAGGCGCTGGACTGTTCCTTTTTTTTTTGGTTTTTCGCTTTCCTTATTTGTCCATCGTTCCAACCACACTTTATACTCTCCTTCCAAATTGATACCGTCTTTTTCTAAGAAAAGTTCGTATCGTTTTCCAAGCAGTTTTACGCGTTCTGATAGCATATTTTTTTCGTCAAACGTATTATATTCCCCAATTTTTTGATGGAAGTAATGAGTTAAAATCAAAAATGTTTAATGTCTCATTCGCAATCTTTCTTGGAGATCGAGCAAAATATTATCCAATAGCGGTATAAATATTGCCTTTCGAAAATAATCTTCAGCGTTAGACGCACGATAATTAGCCCGAAAATTTTCGTCTATTCGCTTAGGAGGAAGGACAATGTCAAAATCAATTCCTTAGCGATATCGGTAACTTTTGAAAATATATACAAAAAATGTGTGTCAGCATTTTCTCTATAATTTCGAAGAATATTCACAGTGCCATTGACTGCTTCGCTAGCACGATTCAAGTCAATCGAGGGTGCTTGGAGAAGTAAACTTTTAATTTTTAATTTTTAATTTTTTTGATTTAATTCTTTAATCTTAATTATATTTTTCAAGTCATTAATATTTTTATGCGCATACAAATGTCTGGTTACACAGTTGAAAGTGAAATTTCCTACAACGAACTGGATTTACCGCGGCCGAATGGAAGTAAAAAAAGTATATTTATTTGTAGCCGCTACATTCAGGGTCACCAGAGTGGGATTTTTGAAATTTTATTTATAAAGTAAATTATATAAATATAAAAAAAAATATTTATTAGCGGACAAAAAATCGTTTGTTAAATTAGCAGCATAAAATGTTTGATTCCTCTGAAAGTTGCGTACGTTTGTTCAGAAACATCTCGTCAACGCAACTAAAAATTACTGTTATGTGTTATTGGCTTTCAGGTACCTCAAATTTCCCTGTATTTGCGATACAAAGCTTTTTGTACTAAAAGCTCTCTCTAACAGTAGATTAAAATGAATGATGCATGGCGTAAAATAAAACAACTGGTTGTTAAATTAATATACTGTATTATAATTTATATTATACAGTGGTCGAAAATATTAAAGACGCACCACATATTTTCACAAATATCTTTCTTTTTTTGTTATTTAATTTTAGCTATTTTTTATAAAAATATAGCTATTTTTTTAACAAAAACCGTGTAAATCCAAGTTTCAAACTATAAAAAATTCAACAACCTTTCGTAAAAATTTCCAAGCTGTTTAATTAGATTTCTTAGAAAGATTTTGAGTATACAGTTTTGTATTGTAGCCCATTCAATTCCAGTACAATAAATTGCAATTTTCAAATGGCTAAAATTACCGTTAATTTTGTTAGAGACTTTCTTCTTCTTTCTGAATACATGAATGCGAAGACGACGCCGAAGATAAATACGAAGAAACCACAATGACGAATACGTAGCCTAATACGAAGGCTAATAAGAACACGATTTGAAAACGAATATGAAAACAGCGACTAAAAAAATACGAAGGTAAGTGCGAAGACTAATACAAGGACAAATGCGAATATCAAAAGAATCCGATGACGAAACCGAATGCGGAGATGGATGAGAAGACGAATACTAATACGAAGAAGAATGTTACGTTGAATACGAATACTAATGCGAAGACCAATCTTCTTCTTAAATTTGGACGAGTTAATTTTTTGAGAAACAGAGTAAGCCTATTGAAAAATATACAATATGGAAACTTTGATTAAAAAAAAGGGTATCTTTGTTTCTATAGAGAACAATTCTAGGGGGTAAGAGCATTAAAATTTCGTTTCTTTGGACGCCATAGTGTACATATGTACATATTTTTGTAACATATGTTTATTTATAAATTTGTTAATAATTTTGTTTAAATTATAATTCAATCCGTAATAAAAACCACATAAATTAAGTTTCAAAGCTTGCACAAATTTCACAAAAATTACTCAAACTTCAAAAAATTATCATCAAACAAACTGTTAACTGTTTTTTTTTTTATTTATCTGTGTGTGTATATTCATAGATGCTAGACCGTTCGACCTTTCTTGACCTCTTGCATTTCCTAAGTAGGTTTTAATCCTTCTCAGGCATGAAAAACTTCGATCAGGGCTAGCTATTGAAAGGGGCAAAAGTGAGAATATGCTTACGGTCTTAAAAACGTTCCCAAAAGACGTTCTATTCACTACTTGTAATGCCTCTTGAGGCATTTCTAAATTCGTTGTTTCCACATTTTTGTTTCCACAAGAATGTTTTGCTTCGAACAATAGATTAGTAGTATAGTACCAGGTTGAGTGACTTTGCTCGGAGCGCACTTTTTAAAGTTTTCGGGGATTTGATCCAAATAATGGTCACTTGGATAGCTTTAATTTATAAAAATTGTTTATGTAATATTAGTAATGGAATTTATTATTTAAAATTACGATAAACATATGTATGTACACACATGTATAGATATGTATATGCATATATGCAAAACCTTCAGATCTAAACCAATACCTCCATACAAACTATGTACATATGTCGATAAAAGAATATTATCGGTGCGTTGATATTTGGCCTCAGTAGTTTTCAGTGAAATATAATAGAAATAAAAAAACTGTAAAAATATAATAATATGTAAATTTAAAAGATTTTGACCTTTTAAATCTAATAAATTTTATAAATATCTTATATTAAAAACCTAGTTGGCAACCCTATTTAGAAATACGCCAGGATGCGAGAGTAGACATTTTTAATGTGTATGTGATATATATGTACATACATATATACATACATATGATCAATGAAATTAATAAGATAACCCTCATGGAAAATATTTCTGGATTCAAATTCTCAAAAATACCTTTTATTTGATATCCATATTGAATTGTTTTAGTTAAATTTTGTAAAATCGAAATAAGTGGCAACCTTGCACTAATATAAAATATAAATATAAAATATAAATAAAAATCTAATATAAATCTGAACGTTGGTCGTTTCACGAGTATTTTTGTCCTAGGGCAGCAGCAACTACTATGCTATGTACTATTAGCGCCAACGATATTGGTACGTTTCACATTGTATAATGTTACGTATACGCCATGGCTTCGTTTAAATGTTGTAATAAAACATATGGAATTGTACATAGCAACCAACGCACCTATACGGCATCCTACCAAATTTATTGATCTAGCAAGGGAAGCAAATTACATGCAATGTTAGATACAGTTTAGTGCAGCTGCTCGGAGCTTCAATACTTTTTTACAGAGGATATTTTATTTTATTTGCGAAATACGTACATATACAATATATGTATGTACATATATGCGTTCAACGCATTGCATTGCATTTGCATTAAAACGGACGAATTCAAAGTGAAACAAGAAATGAGTTTAAAGAAAATCTACCTTCGTTATTATCCACCAGGTAGCTTTACAGATACATATTCATATTATCCTTTCAATTTTATTTAAGAAATTTCGCACGCAGGTTTAGCTCTCAATTGCTGTACTCCCGATGGTCAAGAAATGCTTTATCACATCGATTTGCTGGAATTAAAACCGAAGTGTGTAAAATCAATTTCCTTGCGTAAATAATTTAAATGAAAAAAAATTTGTTCTTGAAATCTATTCAATTATAGCATACGATTGGAATATGTTATCAAAAGCATTTCTAGCCAACTGATAAACTCAGAACAAGCCTACGCATCAGCACTCGATTGCGCAACTAACACCAGCGGCAACCTTACTAATATAATAGAAACAAAATCCACTAAACCCAAGCCACTTCAAACTGCCAATAGCAGCACAGCTGAGACGGTTTTTCTGCAACAAATAATTAACAATTATGTCGACCCCCTGCGGCAGGCAATTACAAAATTGCAACGAAAGTTGTTGGAACCCACACAGAAGAAATTCTATTTGCATCGTCGTGTCGGCCACCTGTTGCCGCTGACTAACGTCTGCTTCGACAGGAGCGGTACGCGCTGCTTGACCGGCAGTTATGATCGTACCTGTCGCATAATTAACACAGACGACTCGGGCGAAGAGCAACTGTTAAAGGGGCATGATAATGTTGTATTCTCAGTTGCCTTCAACCAACCAAAATGGTAAGTACACCGATTAGTAGTGTCGACCAAGGTGAATTCCTTCAATTACTATCAATGCTTTCATTCTGCAGCGACAAAGTGGTCACTGGCTCTTTTGATGGTACGGCCAGAGTATGGCATACTTCAAATGGTCAATCAGTATGTACGCTGTACGGACACACTGCCGAACTGGTAATGGCTGAATTTGACCCCATACAATCGACCATGGTAGCTACCGCTTCAATGGATGGCAGCGCGCGCTTATTCGACATAGAAACAGCCTTTGAGCTGCACGTCCTCAACCATCATGGTGCCGAAGTGATAGCGAGTCGCTTTAGTCGCTGTGGCACTATGCTGCTAACAGCTTCTTTCGATGGCACTGCGGCCATTTGGGATATACGACAGGGTTGGTACGTATCGTTTATGTATCTCAAAAGTTATTTTCTCATAAATTGTTATGTAGCCTCATCTCGCAATTGCGTGGGCACACCGCTGAGCTTAGCAATTGCATATGGAATTTCGCTTGTAATCGCATTGCTACTTCTTCGCTGGACAGCACAGCGCAACTTGGGATATCCGTAAGCTCGATGTGCCACTTTTTAACATACCGGACATCGCGAGGAGGTGCTTGATGTTTGCTTTGACTCTACTGGCTGCCGGTTGGCCACTTGTAGCAGTGATTGTACAGCACGCGTGTGGAATGTGCGTGGCGAATTGGAGCAGCTATCGGTTATGGAGGGTCATAAAGATGAGGTTTCCAAGGTTGGAATTACATACATATGTTTTGTGCATCAAGAACTTTGCTAAATTA